TGCTCTCCTCTCCCTCTCTACAATGGCCAGTGAGAGGCCCTCCCTTGCAACCTGGCAATGCTGATAGATGAACTGAGATCTGACCGGGGGTGGGTTACTTTGTACTATTGCCATGGGTGTAAAGGGGAATGATTCAAATCTCAGCTTGGATTAGCTCAAGCCCAAATAAACCTGTGAGGCTATGTCTACACTGGCATGATTTTCCAGAAATGCTTTTAACGGAAAAGTTTTCCATTAAAAGCATTTTCGGAAAAGCACATCTAGATTGGCAGGATGTTTTTCCGCAAAAGCACTTTTTGCAGAAAAGCGTCCGTGACCAATCTAGATGCGCTTTTCCGCAAAAAAGCCCCGATCGCCATTTTCGCAATCGGGGCTTTTTTGCAGAAAACAGTACTGTGCTGTCTACACTGGCCCTTTTATACAAAAATCTTTCGGAAAAAGACTTTTGCCCGAACGGGAGCAGCATAGTATTTCCAGAAAAGTACTGACGATTTTACATGAGATCGTCGGTGCTTTTCTGGAAATTCAAGCGGCCAGTGTAGACAGCTGGCAAATTTTTCCACAAAATCGCATGATTTTGCAGAAAAACTTGCCAGTCTAGACACAGCCTAAGTGTTTAAGATGCCAAGACTCCAAGTTGTTTGTGAAGACACAGGCTAACACAGTGACCCTCTGAGACTCACTAACTGATTCCAGTGAGAACCAGATCAGTTGCTTGGAGACCTATTGTGGTTGAGAGCAGCAAATGAGCCCTGGGGATCCACACTAGGGCAGGGGTGGGGAAGAATTAAGAAGGTCCTTTCCCTTTCTCTGTGCTTTGATTCTGGGATCAAGGGAAATCTCCATGCCCAGAAAAGGTCTCCCAGGCTGGCTGCTGAAGGACTTTAAACAACTGTCTCCATTGGGTCTGTGCTGGGAGGCGGGTCTTTGTCTTCTCCGGAATCTCTCTGCTCTTCAAATACCCTCTGGAGTGCGAGTTTGAGAGAGCCACAGAATCGCCGCTTCCCGTAGCTCCCGACTAGAAAGTAAATAAAGGGGTTGATGCTGCTGCTTGCACAGGCCAGCACATAAGACATCTCAGTGGGCCGAGATTTGCCCAGGTAGAAAAGAAAATGCGTAACACTCTGAGGGAGAGTGAGGAGGAGGAAGAAGAGGACGGTGAGCAGGATGACAACATAGAGCTTGCTGGGCGGGCGCTGCTGGGAGCTCCATCGCATCTGGATGAACAGTGTCAGACTGGAGAGAACCATGATGGGGGAGAATATCAGGACATTCAGAATAAAGACGTACAGGATGGAAGTGAAACAGTTTTCATTAATGTGAAGAAGACAAAAAAAGCTCATAGAACAGCACAGTGGGACGGGGAGAGCCCAGAGCAGGGCAGACACGATGGCAGACAAGTGCCTTGGCCGGCGACATCGGTACCAGATGGGGCAGAGGACGGACACGCACCTCTCCGTGCTGATGGCGGTCAGGAGGTACAGGCTGGTGCTGTACGTCCACAGACACAGCATTGTAATCAGAAATAATATGTAATGAAAGTCAGTATTGTCACAAAACAGATATTCCACCATGTAGGCGGCAAGATAGGCAAGCGAGTAGAGGAGGAAGCCAGTGTCGGCGACGGCCAGGTTGAGGACGTAGACGGTGAAGGGGTTCCTCTTCATGCGGAAGCCCAGGAACCAGAGGACGATCCCGTTCCCCACCAGCCCCAAAACGCTGATGATCACAGTGATGCTGATAAAGGTCACTTCAGGGGCATCAAACTCTGGGCATTCAGTGTCGTTATGTTCATATTCGTAATCCCAGCCAGAGGCTGTTGGTGGCAGGGTCTCTCTGCTCAGTTCGGCCATCTTGGAACCACTGCTGCAGGATGCTGGTGTCCCCCGCTGCCCTTCTCTCGCACACTCCTGTGCTGTTGGGAGAGAGCAGATGGGGAAATTGGTGACTGACCTCCCAGCTCTGTGTTTTCACTGCTTGTTCTAGCCCCTCCTCAGCCTCCAGCCCTGGACCATCCGCACACAGTGGCTTTGGAGATGCTGGGGACAGAGAAAGACATGGAGAAAGGCCCAGAGATGGGGAGCAGCCTGGACCGACAGCAAGTGGCAGAGAGAAAATTAAACCCAGGGAGAAAGCTGGACAGACAGACAGACAAAGAGAGAGAAGCAGAAATGGGACAGGATGTTGGCTGGCCATGGATTGTCAGGAAACTGCATGCGGGGGAAGGAGGGAGAGACGAGAGTGGGAGAGAAAAAGAATAACCCTGTCTAATCAATCAGTGGTGACAATGAGCAGTGAATCCTTCCAGCCGTCCCTTACCTGCCTTCCTCCCAAACTGCGGGTATGTCTACACTACAAAGTTAATTCGAACTAACGAATTAACTTTCATACGCGCTACACTAGCGCTCCACTAGTTCAAACTTAATTCGAACTAGCGGAGCACTTAGTTCGAGCTAGGTAAACCTCATTTCACGAGGACTAACGCCTAGTTCGAACTTACTAGTTCGAACTAAGGGCTGTGTAGCCCTTTAGTTCATACTAGTGGGAGGCTAACCCTTCCCAGCTTGCCCTGCTGGCCACTCTGGGCAACACCAGGCAAACTCTACTGCCCCCCTCCCGGGCCCGGAGCCCTTAAAGGGCTACGGTGCCCATGCCAGGTGCAAGCCTGCCAGTACCCAGCCAGCAGACCCTGCACCTGGCACGGCACGAACCAGCTACCTGCTGCCACCCCGCCCTCCGCCTCTTCCTGGGACCAGGCTGGCGGGCTTCGGGAGGCCGCCCGGGGCGCGC